AAGGTGTTGAGAACCTGGACATGAATTATCCAGAACATTCTATTTACTTCCTTTGTGTAAAGAACTTACTAGCTTATTGTATGTATGTAAAGAACCTTCTAGTTTGTACTGTAGAGAACTTTCTAGTTTGTCAGTTCTGTATAAATAGCCTGTGTTGGTTGTGTAAAAGGACGGCAATTTTTTAAGTTAATTTTCTTTCTTTTTGTTGAGAAAAGTTTGTTGGAACCCACAAGTTAATCACACATCAATTGCCAAAATAAAAATCTGACAAACTAAAGCACTATATTATGTACCTTTTGTTTAACATCTTGTCTCCTCCATAATGTTAAGTTACCAATAGTCAGTTTCTTTAATCCTTGTCCCATTAGTATATGAATATTCTCTATCATCCTCAATACAGTAAACCCAACATCAGAGAAAGGAAAGGAGCAAGTGACTGATATTGAAGTGGAGGTTTCTTCATAATTATTAATGATCAGGAGTGTATTGAATAATTTTGAATAAATGTCCTTAATCTCTTTAATCACACGTTCCTCAGGTTTCCAGTCAAATATGAAAATAGCTGTTTCAAACTGCATGTATAAAATATAAGTAGGTACACACTTTAATTTTTGTTCTCACTCTTACTTTACACATTTCTGTTTGTTCTTTTTCTCTCTGCAGTTGTCTTTTCTCCTCAGCCTCTTTCAAATCTATTCAAGATTCAAAAATCAAATGACATATATACATCATCAATAAAACCTTTAATATCTCTTAAAAGCCTCTCATTGTGTTTTCTTTTAGTAGCTAGTTGTGTATTTCTTAATTTTATTTTTTCTTGTAATTTCTCTATTATTCTTTTGTCATCTACTAATGGCTGATAGTCTGGTCTTGTCATTGCTTCAAGACAGAGTTTTATATCATTGAGTTCAAGAGCCATTTTCTTCTTCATTTTGCTGGCAGCTATAATTATTATTAATTATTATAGTGTAATAGATAAACCTGAATCAGTATATTACTAGAAAGTGATGATAATTTGTCTGACAATTCTTTGTTTTCTTCTTTTATCTCATTAAACTGAGAGCTCAATACAGTCAACTCTTCATAAAGTGGTTCTTCCTATTAATAATTATTATAATTAATACAAACTAGTGAGATATACCTTAACTTCTTTAATTGATTCAGTATCACTTTGAACAGACAATGATTCCTCCTAATGATCAAAAATATCATCACACAGCTACTACAGATAGATATACTACAAGAGTTAAATTTGGCAAATTGTTTACAATTTGCAATTGGCCAATTTTATATTGGCAATTTAGCAATCAAGTGCCACTGCATGAGCATGCTCAAAATGAGGCCAAGATGGCAGATTTTATTCTGGCAGATGTTAACTGCAACTACCAATCCACCAATTAATTCCAGCTACAGTGGTACTTAAAATATCTTATAGGAAAAACTAATGACACATCAACACATAGCAAGGCAAAGTCTATGAATAAATAGTATAGCAAGCTAGGCTATATGTGAAACTGAATTGTAGGGGAAAAACCTACTGCTGCCTACATAGGTGAGGAAAATTAATTGCCATTAAGTATCGACAAGTAAATGTTCAAGAAATTTTTAAGATTAAAAAACTTGACAAAGCTTTTGTACTTCATAATTATGATGACATATGCAATAAATAGTAGCTAACCTCTAGTACTTTCATCATTGATAGTTCTTGCTTCAATCGAATTGTTTCCTATCATAAGTACAAACAAAAAACATTAATAAATTAAATGTACATCAAAGAGTTTGGTAGTAGTATATGACATACATGTACCTTCTCTTTGCTACTGATAGCATCTCTTAGTTTATATTCAGCTTCTTCAAGTATAATATAAGAAATAACCTGTAAAAAATATAGTACTTAAAATGGCAGTTTTATGAGGCAAATTTTAACTAACTTCTGTATGCAATAAGTCTTGATCCTTTTCTTTTAGTTCCTATACAAAACAATAATATTTTATAAATCAATATTCAACTAATTATATTATGTACCTTTTGTCCAACATCTTGTCTCCTCCATAACGCTAAGTTACCAATAGTCAGTTTCTTTAATCCTTGTTCCATTAGTATATGAATATTCTCTATCATCCTCAATACAGTAAACCCAACATCAGAGAAAGGAAAGGAGCAAGTGACACATATTGAAGTGGAGGTTTCTATATACTTAATAACCAGTAGTTTACCAGATACTTTTGATAGTATATCTTTAATATCCTTCAGTACATGTTCCTCAGGCTCCCAGTCAAAAATAAAAGTAACTGTTTCACATTGAAGATGAGGAATGGAAGCAAATCTTTCTTTCAAACAAAGACTGATGGAGAGTGACTTGCAGAATTCCTTTAGCTCTGTTCTATATCCCTCAATGTATCTTGTAGCTTCTATAATCTCCATTTCTTCCACTACACTGTCAAGAAGTTCAATATCAGTCAGTGAACACTCATTTTGAATAAGACACAAGACACCAGAAAGATCAGTACATTGCTCTACTTTTCGTCTAAGAACTGTGCTACGACAAGACAGGAATTCTTTTATTTCTTCTAAAGGAGGAGGTTTTCTTTTAATGATCTTGCCAATATTGTAGAACATCCTTCCATAGCATGTTCTCATTGAGCTAAAGTTTGTCAGTAAGTCTTTAGGAACAGGAACATGTACTTCAACTACAAAAGATATTATTACTTCAGTACCAAATAGCTAGAAAAGTTGGAATGTCAAATTTGATGGATTAAATTTAAAAGAGGTTTGAAGGTTAAAATTTTTTTGGTAAAACATTAACCAAGTGCATGCTGCTACAGAGCCCTTTCACATTGGAGACTAAAATTTTGGTAAATGCACCTCAATTCACCAAAATTTTACTCCACCAAATTTTCTAGCTATATTACAATAGTACATGTAAAAGGTGTATACCTTGAGGTGATAAAGGTTGTAAAGAGGAATCACTAGCAACTTTTGTATCAGAAGATGTGTCTATAAATTAAAATGAAGCAATTTTTATTGCTATAGTAATACACACCAGATTGTTTTGTCTTGGTTTCATCGTCAGTACTTGCATTTTCTATAAAATTAATGAATGTATTATCAATTATTATTTCAGACGAGCCTGAGTGACTCCCCCCCCCCCACATAAAGGAGATGAGTATGTAACTCTGTTTGTATGTACACGTATCATATAGCAAAAAATTTTCGAGGTTTAAAATTATTTCATGAATACCATAATTCCTCTAAATATTCGACGCTCTAAATTTGAAAATAAATAATTATTTCAAATTTTCTACCAAAATTCATTCTAAAACTCGTTTTAAATATTATTGTTCCATGTGGTTCTAATTTCATCACTTACCTCTAACTTCAATACCAGAGAAGGATACTCTGAATAGCCAGGTTAGCATAAAGCTGGTTTTGTGTATTAATGAATCCCTCCAAATTTGACAAAATAATTAGTTTAAAAGCTTCATAACTACTCTCCCTCTAAAAATTTCAAATACAAAACTTGATGTGACAAATTTTTAGAGGAATTATGGTAATGAAATTTATGGGGAAATTTTAAATTTCATAAAAATATTTTCATGATTTTATTTTAATAATAACAATTGAACATGCCCTATTTAATTAAAACATGGCAGATTGAGATGGGCTCGATGGACTCATGTGTCAGGGGCACCATGTCTACAAAAAGTGTGGACACCAGCAGTGATTGTGGAGATCATCTTTGACCTTGCCTCTAGGCTCAAAATAATGATACAAAGATATTAACCAAGAATATGACTTGTTTAGACAAAAGGGCATGCATACACATACATACACATGTATTAATAAGGAGTGGTTGACCCTTTGATTAATATTCATTTTCGGGGGTTTAATTTTTCGTGATGCAAACAGTGATCATGAAAATACGGAAATTCATTCCTCACAAAATTTTTTGGTTATATGATAGGTCACCCCTATTTATCTGTATAAAAAAATTTCCCCTTTTTTAATAAACTCAATAATCTTCATTGAACATGGGTGTGGTCACAGTAAAACAAAATGGCCATAGATAATAGAGTAAATGAAAGGGATTGGCAACAGGGTGTAGCAACAGGAAATGTGGGTTGGGTTACCACGTGACAACCATCAGTGTTTTAATTGATTTCCCATCTCTTCCATTGGTGAAGTTGCTCTGGCAGGATTTCGAAGGAAATTTGTGCTGCTCTAGGATAGCGCCAGCTTGCTTTTGATATATAGCCTATTCCACATAGAATTTTTAGAACTACCTGCAGCAAGGTTTTTATCTCCAATAAGCCATTTTGCAACCAGTTAGAGGTACACAAAGTCACCTGTTTTTGAAACACTTTATCATTCGTAAAACACTCAAGCTTCATTGTATTAATATGCAAGTTAGCTCATTCCACAGGAGATTTCAAGCTCTTTAAAATGGTTATACTTATTCGTAGCTCAAGAACAAAATGAGTCTCTCAGAGGGAGAAAAGATGGTATTTCTAGTTAAAGAGTGACGCGGCTACTAACGCATGCATTGATTTACTGAACAAAAAATATTAATAAAAAGCATAAACATTGGTTAGTATTGTGTGTGAGTTTTGTTTGCATGAATTGTATTCTCTTGGAGTTATTCAAGAATAAAGCAAGAAAATCCCAGTTTTTTACTCCAAAATCGGTCAAAAATCCCAACCCTCCTCTGTTTACTTAGCAACAATACAAATGAATGGAGGTTTGCCCACGCCCATGCTTCCATTTCCAATCCCTTTCATTTACTCTATTATCTATGAAATGGCATAGATATTAGAGTACATTATTTCCTTAAATAAAAGCACAGGCGTCTATTTCCTAAAATAGTATTTGGGCCTCAAAAAAATACATAAAAATAAAAAAAACTTAGACACAGAGCAGGATTCCAACCCGTGACCTCATACTTTTGACTTCTGGAATTTCAGGCACTATCCGCTAGACTACTGAGTCAATCCTAGGCTAACTTTCCTTAGATTATAGTCAGGTAAAATGAGGCAATTTGATTGGTCAAATGAGGTAATCTAAGTAGCTTAGTTACCTCTTAATAACTTCTTAGATTACTTGTTAATAACCATTATTTATAATAATAAAATTGTTATTTTTATTGAATATTTACAGTCAAATTTGTGCAGTTACTGAAAGCAATTCGTGGTTCACCGTCCATCGACATTAAAAGTTTTGTTTGTTGAGTATTTTGAGTGTTCACTATCTGATATCTCAATCATTTGTTCAGCTGTGATGTCCTCTTGTAGCTTCTCACTCCATCGATGCTATCAGTGGTGACCAGTGCGTTCCATTATCAGTTGTTGGTCAACACCTTATAAACAGGTCACTGCAGTTGCTTGTAAAGAATGATTAGTTCTGACTCCTTTTATTCCTCCCATTTCAAGCATTGTTTTTGCCATCATACCATTGTTTTTTTGTTTTGTTCATTCAAACATTGTTTTGTTCATTATAGATACCACAAACCATGTGGTATAGTATTAGTGTTATATATTGATATATTATTTTGATATTGATTCCTATTATTATTTTCTAAGGCATTTTGATTACAGTTATTTCTAGTATTATTATTATTGTTATTATGATTATTATTACTACTATTGTTATTACAATTATTATTATTACTATTATTAATTATTATTATTATTATTGCATTGCTGTATGATGTTATTTCTTTTCCTTCTAGCTGATGCTTATGATTTATTATGCTTATTAGTTCATGTATACTGATTCTGATTGTTGTGTAATGTTTTGTCATTGTGATGTAATATGATGTAATACTGTTTGTATATAAGTGTATGCTCTTTTCATTTTTGTCAGAAGAGATTTTAGCCTTTTTACAATAATCAATATTTACAAAATACGAAGGTCAAGCTCTCTCCATTCGGTCACTACACTGGCGACGAGGGTAACTGGACTACTTTGCTGTTTCTTCCTACTTCTCACTACTTACACTATGGCTACGCACGGCAAGATGTCGGCATTCGATGGTTCCAAGGAATCTTGGACTTCTTACTCCGAGAGACTTGACTTCTACTTCAAGGCTAACAAGATTACAGCAGCAGAATCTCAGAAAGCAGTCTTTATTACTGTGATAGGACCTAGGACGTACGGGCTACTGAAGAGCCTACTACAACCAAAGACACCTCAGGACTCTACCGTCACCTTGGATAAGATGAAGGACGTTCTGCAGAAGCATTTCGATCCTAAGCCATCTCCTATAGTTCAGCGCTTCAAGTTCCACACGAGAG